AAGAAGTCTTAAAACTATAGAAGTCATGCAAGACAGAGCGGACATTGATTTGCCCAACCCAACCATTGGCTGGTTTTTCAACGGTTGCACAAATTGCTTCGCCGCAGGAAGCCCCCAAAGAATAGACACTAGGCATAGCATCAAGAGCGTGTCAGAATTAAAACCTGAGAACAGTTCACAGCGTAGATCAAGAAGGTTGAAAAAAGTGCCAAGAAAACAAGTTCTTCCGCATCAACAGGGGTTTTAAAACTTCCAAGAATAATTGCGCACCGTCTATATAACCAAAACTAAGAGACTAAGAGCATGTTCTCATCTTGGATGGGACACAGTTCAAGGGTGGTTTGATGTGCTTTGTAGCAACACCACTTCTCTTGCAAACAACAACCATGCAGACCACTCCGAGTTCCCTTGACACAACTTGAGACTTCCAAATCTTCCAACATTTCACAAAGCTAAGAACTGCACATCTGGGGTCGAACAAGCCCTGGCTTGAGCAAGCGCTGTGCCCAGGAGCACCTTGACTAAGCTCTTTCACACAGCAATCGCATGCTATGGCAAGCCGGAAACCAAAAAAAAACAAGTAGTTGCAGATTCACCAAAGCACTACTAAATGAAACCGATTTTTTTTTTCTGGCAACTAAGCCAAGCACCTGAAGCCGGCCACATCCCAATGGGACACAGTTCAATCATGTTTTGATGTGTTTTGTAACAACACCACTTCTGCTAACGACAGCCATGCAAATCACTCCGAGTTCCCTTGACACAACTTGAGACTTCCAAATCTTCCAACATTTCACAAAGCTAAGAACTGCACATATGGGGTGGAACAAGCCCTGGCTTGAGCAACCGCTGTGCCCAGGAGCACCTTGACTAAGCTCTTTCACACAGCAAGCGCATGCTATGGCAGGCCGGAAAAAAAAAACAGTAGTTGCAGATTCACCAAAGCACAATTAAATTGCCAAAGAGATAAAATAAAAGAAAGGAAATTGAATTTTCTCCGGCAACTAAGCCAAGCACCTGAAGCCGACCACATCCCAGCATCTTGGATGGGACACAGTTCAATCATGTTTTGTTGTGTTTTGTAACAGCACCACCTCTAACGACAGCCATGCAGACCACTCCGAGTTCCCTTGACACAACTTGAGACTTCCAAATCTTCCAACATTTCACAAAGCTAAGAACTGCACATCTGGGGTCTAACCAGCCCTGGCTTGAGCAAGCGCTGTGCCCAGGAGCACCTTGACTAAGCTCTTTCACACAGCAAGCGCATGCTATGGCGCTGAGTGGGTCCAAAAGCGTCCAAAAGCGCTTGTGTGCTGCGACGCTGCGACGCCGCAGGGGGCTGCTCGCATCTTGTTGCGCTCGGTGTCTTTGCTGAAAAGAAGTCTTAAAACTTATGAATGTCATGCCAAGCAGCGACATGATTTGCCCAAACCATTGGCTAGGTTTCAACGGTTGCACAAATTGCTTCGCCGCAGGAAGCCCCAAGAATATGACACTAGCATAGCATCAAGAGCGTGTCAGAATTAAACCGAGAACAAGTTCACAGCGTAGTATCAAGAGGTGACAAAAGTGCCAAGAACAAGTTCTCGCATCAACAGCGGGTTAGAACTTCCAAGAATAATTGCGCACCGTCTATATAACCAAAACTAAGAGACTAAGAGCATGTTCTCATCTTGGATGGGACACAGTTCAAGGGTGGTTTGATGTGCTTTGTAGCAACACCACTTCTCTTGCAAACAACAACCATGCAGACCACTCCGAGTTCCCTTGACACAACTTGAGACTTCCAAATCTTCCAACATTTCACAAAGCTAAGAACTGCACATCTGGGGTCGAACAAGCCCTGGCTTGAGCAAGCGCTGTGCCCAGGAGCACCTTGACTAAGCTCTTTCACACAGCAATCGCATGCTATGGCAAGCCGGAAACAAAAAAAACAAGTAGTTGCAGATTCACCAAAGCACAATTAAATTGCCAAAGAGATAAAATAAAAGAAAGGAAATTGAATTTTCTCCGGCAACTAAGCCAAGCACCTGAAGCCGACCACAACCCAGCATCTTGGATGGGACACAGTTCAATCATGTTTTGATGTGTTTTGTAACAACACCACTTCTGCTAACGACAGCCATGCAAATCACTCCGAGTTCCCTTGACACAACTTGAGACTTCCAAATCTTCCAACATTTCACAAAGCTAAGAACTGCACATATGGGGTGGAACAAGCCCTGGCTTGAGCAACCGCTGTGCCCAGGAGCACCTTGACTAAGCTCTTTCACACAGCAAGCGCATGCTATGGCAGGCCGGAAAAAAAAAACAGTAGTTGCAGATTCACCAAAGCACAATTAAATTGCCAAAGAGATAAAATAAAAGAAAGGAAATTGAATTTTCTCCGGCAACTAAGCCAAGCACCTGAAGCCGACCGCATCCCAGCATCTTGGATGGGACACAGTTCAATCATGTTTTGTTGTGTTTTGTAACAGCACCACCTCTAACGACAGCCATGCAGACCACTCCGAGTTCCCTTGACACAACTTGAGACTTCCAAATCTTCCAACATTTCACAAAGCTAAGAACTGCACATCTGGGGTCTAACCAGCCCTGGCTTGAGCAAGCGCTGTGCCCAGGAGCACCTTGGACGAGCTTCTTATCACCACAGCCAAGCGCAGGCAATGGCGCTGAGTGGGTCCAAAAGCGTCCAAAAGCGCTTGTGTGCTGCGACGCTGCGACGCCGCAGGGGGCTGCTCGCATCTTGTTGCGCTCGGTGTCTTTGCTGAAAAGAAGTCTTAAAACTCATGAATGTCATGCCAAGCAGCGACATGATTTGCCCAAACCATTGGCTAGGTTTCAACGGTTGCACAAATTGCTTCGCCGCAGGAAGCCCCAAGAATATGACACTAGCATAGCATCACGAGCGTGTCAGAATTAAACCGAGAACAAGTTCACAGCGTAGTATCAAGAGGTGACAAAAGTGCCAAGAACAAGTTCTCGCATCAACAGCGGGTTAGAACTTCCAAGAATAATTGCGCACCGTCTATATAACCAAAACTAAGAGACTAAGAGCATGTTCTCATCTTGGATGGGACACAGTTCAAGGGTGGTTTGATGTGCTTTGTAGCAACACCACTTCTCTTGCAAACAACAACCATGCAGACCACTCCGAGTTCCCTTGACACAACTTGAGACTTCCAAATCTTCCAACATTTCACAAAGCTAAGAACTGCACATCTGGGGTCGAACAAGCCCTGGCTTGAGCAAGCGCTGTGCCCAGGAGCACCTTGACTAAGCTCTTTCACACATCAAACGCATGCTATGGCAGGCCAAAAAAAAATCAGTAGTTGGAGATTCACCAAAACACTACTAAATGAAACCGGATATTTTTTTCTGGCAACTAAGCCAAGCACCTGAAGCCGGCCACATCCCAGCATCTTGGATGGGACACAGTTCAATCATGTTTTGTTGTGTTTTGTAACAGCACCACCTCTAACAACTTGAGACTTCCAAATCTTCCAACATTTCACAAAGCTAAGAACTGCACATCTGGGGTCTAAACAGCCCTGGCTTGAGCAAGCGCTGTGCCCAGGAGCACCTTGACTAAGCTCTTTCACACAGCAAGCGCATGCTATGTATGGCAGGCCGGAAAAACAAAACAAGGAATTGGAGAACCACCAAAGCACAATTAAATTGCCAAAGAGATAAAATAAAAGAAAGGAAATTGAATTTTCTCCGGCAACTAAGCCAAGCACCTGAAGCCGACCACATCCCAGCATCTTGGATGGGACACAGTTCAATCATGTTTTGATGTGTTTTGTAACAACACCACTTCTGCTAACGACAGCCATGCAAATCACTCCGAGTTCCCTTGACACAACTTGAGACTTCCAAATCTTCCAACATTTCACAAAGCTAAGAACTGCACATCTGGGGTGGAACAAGCCCTGGCTTGAGCAAGCGCTGTGCCCAGGAGCACCTTGACTAAGCTCTTTCACACAGCAAGCGCAGGCAATGGCGCTGAGTGGGTCCAAAAGCGTCCAAAAGCGCTTGTGTGCTGCGACGCTGCGACGCCGCAGGGGGCTGCTCGCATCTTGTTGCGCTCGGTGTCTTTGCTGAAAAGAAGTCTTAAAACTCATGAATGTCATGCCAAGCAGCGACATGATTTGCCCAAACCATTGGCTAGGTTTCCACGGTTGCACAAATTGCTTCGCCGCAGGACGCCCCAAGAATATGACACTAGCATAGCATCAAGAGCGTGTCAGAATTAAACCGAGAACAAGTTCACAGCGTAGTATCAAGAGGTGACAAAAGTGCCAAGAACAAGTTCTCGCATCAACAGCGGGTTAGAACTTCCAAGAATAATTGCGCACCGTCTATATAACCAAAACTAAGAGACTAAGAGCATGTTCTCATCTTGGATGGGACACAGTTCAAGGGTGGTTTGATGTGCTTTGTAGCAACACCACTTCTCTTGCAAACAACAACCATGCAGACCACTCCGAGTTCCCTTGACACAACTTGAGACTTCCAAATCTTCCAACATTTCACAAAGCTAAGAACTGCACATCTGGGGTCGAACAAGCCCTGGCTTGAGCAAGCGCTGTGCCCAGGAGCACCTTGACTAAGCTCTTTCACACATCAAACGCATGCTATGGCAGGCCGGAAAAACAAAACAAGGAATTGGAGAACCACCAAAGCACAATTAAATTGCCAAAGAGATAAAATAAAAGAAAGGAAATTGAGTTTTCTCCGGCAACTAAGCCAAGCACCTGAAGCCGACCACATCCCAGCATCTTGGATGGACATAGTTCAAAGGCGTTTCATAGTAACACCACTTCTCTTGCTAACGACAGCCATGCATATCACTCCAAGTTCACTTGACACGACTTTAGACTTCCAACATCATGCAAAGGAAATTAAGACTGAAGAGATCCCGGACTGACTCTTTAAGATTGTTGAACCAGGTTGGCGGCCTAGATTTTTAGAGGCTGTTCGAATTCCTTCTTCGTTCAACACTTTCTAATCTCAGCACGGCGCTTGTTTTTGCTTGAATTCTTCTTTTTCCTGGCAGCCACGAACGGTAGGAAATTCAAACCTGAACCCCCAAAAAAAAACAACAAAAATGATGCTCTATGGGGCAAGCAGCGGGCTCCTTGTGTAGGCTTCTGTGGAGAAGATTCTTTGTCGATTTCGTCAGACCCCAGCCATACCAGGAGCTGCGAAAGACCACCCAACTGGCGTCTAGCAGGACTGGCCGCCTGTACAATCTGCCAACCACCCAACTGGCGTCTAGCAGGACTGGCCGCCTGTACAATCTGCCAATTCTTATCAGATTCGCTTAGACTTCCATCAGCCAGGTTGGGTGCCAGCACAAATATGTCCGCTTCGATTCCGAAGAAAATGACGCATGGACATAAGGTGGCCTTGCCTTTTTCTCACATGAACAATCTGTTGGCTCCCAGTAATTTCAATCAAGATCAACGTGTTTTTATTACTTTCATTCTTTTCAACGTACCACATGTCTGCCCAAGGGTGGGTGCCATTCTGGTGCTTGTCCTGCGCTCTATAAAGCACTCCAGGCCTGAGATTTCTGATGCCTTGCAAGTCCACACTAATAAACAGTCCCTGCTGATCCCTCTCCACGGCGAAAATCCGACCGTCAAGCTTCACGTCAGTAAATTTCTGACCCGAAATAGGCACACGTACATTCGGTTCGTGTTTCCGGTATTGCTGCATGGCTATGGTCCACATGTATGATGCCTCCAGGATTCTGTTTGCGCACACATCTGTGCTCGCATCATCACTCGATTCAAAAATGGCATCTCGCAAACATGGTTGACACTGTTTGAACAGCGTCCTGTATGGTTTCGTGCAATCCGTGTCAAAGGGCAAGGCATTGAGCAAGACCTTCAAGGAAACTGTGAGAGACTCGCCTCCCCATAGTGAGATCAGGCCTGAGTCCACTGCGCGAATTCGCCCTGCAACTTTGGTCTCTGGCATCCCCAACAATAGATCAAGGAGGTCTTGAACATTGGCTTGCCAAAGCTGGCTGCAGTGCGCCTGGAATGTTTCCTTGCACAATTTCTGGCAGCTTGTCAACATTTCCTTCAAGCACTTGTTGCCGTCGCCATATTCTTCATACGCTGACTGTGCCTTTTGAGACAAATCAGCAAATTCATTGAGGAAATTGGTTGAGGGGGTATCTTCGCACCAAATCCCGGCCAAACTGATGCTTTGCCGCTGTGAGGTTGCCTGGATGGTATTCTCTCCGTCCAACACCAAGCCCAAACAAATTTGCAATGTTGCAAGGCGTCTCTTGTTGTGGGCATGGATGCATATATCTTCCAACAATTTTGGCAAGCGAAGCTGATATAGATATTCCATGAGTTTTGCCACGTCCAAAACAGGCTTGGCCACTGCAGTTCGACAGCCTGCCGAAGATTCTCCCGTACCGCCGGGGAGTTCGTAAGGAAAATCAACGTAGGTTGCAATGATCCGGGTGTTTGCCAGCTCCGTCAGCGCTTGCCAAGCGCCTCTGCGGAAATTTGCACACTTCTCATTCACGGCTGTCACAAATTTTTGGCCACATTGTTCTCTCCAACTATTCTCCGTCGCACTGTCCAAGCAAAGCAGTTTCCTGTGCTCATCCAGGTGGATCAATAGATGCGGTTGCTGCTTTCGATTTTCTGCGTCTAGAAACTGTTTCACCAGGCCATTGAGTTTTTCCCGAATTTCACCTTGATTTGTACCTTTGAATTGCTCAGAAAGGGCTTTGAGACAATCAAATCCAGCCTCCTTGTGTGTCATATACTCACCCTGAATCGCCTTCTCAAAGCACTTCCACATGTACACAGACCCAAGAGTTTCAAAATCAATACCTGCATCCCGATCAGGCAACGTCTGCCAAAAATCCAAGGTGGCCTTTGGCCCTTTGTGGTGCAACTGGTTGTTGTGAAATGGCACATAAAGATAATGCGTAAGAACTTTGCCCGAGCGGTTCTTGCAAAAATCATCTTCCAAACTTCGAAGAAATCCAGGCAAAACGCAAGATGTTTTCCCTGTATGGGAAGGGGCTACAATGTATGACATGCCCTTTCGACCAGCTCCAGACTCATGAAGGTCAATGGCCAAGTCCAAAAGATCTTCTCCTCTGACAATATATGGTTTTGTGTACAATTTGATTCCACCCGAAACGTCATTGTGGGTCCCACTTAAAGTCCTCGTTGGCAGGTGCTTGAGGTATTTGGCCCAGTCTTTTACCAATTGTGGTGCCGATGTTGCTTTTGATTGCATGAAGTTTTCCCACACATCTTTCAACCTTGATTCCATTGTTGTTCCCTTCTCCCTCATTGCATCCCTGTGTTCATGTTGTCCACGTTGTGCACTCTTCCTGTTGAGACACCACTCTGGAGTGCGCAAGGTCTCCTCGGTAGTTTGACTCAAACGATGTGTTGTTCGAGGCGTGTGTGGAAGAGGAGTTGATTGCTGAATTTGTTTGCGTCTGCTCCTGCTTCTGCTCAAGGAAAGACTGTTGTTCCTTCCCTGGGGTTGTCCCCGGATTTTCGGGCTTCTTGACCTCGCATGCAGTGTCACCATGGTTTTCCCGAAGCGGTTGAGAACACCAGCTGTCACACGCACAGCATGCAAACAGCAAAAAGTAGAGGGAAATTTGCTGAGAAATACTGTGCCAGTATTTGGTAAATATGCCATGGTTGCATCATGCCCGCATGTGGATTTAAGGGGTGTTCCTGCTGGAAATGATTCAATCAAGGATCATTTTAAACTATACATTTTTTTGCGGACGGTTTGATCTGAAAATCCGCAGCGGGCATGCCATGAGTGACTCGTGCACAACCGTGATGATCAAACAAAACACCACCATAGACACCAAATACAACTCAGCGCCCTGAACTGCACTTTAACAACAACCGCTATTGAATTGGCAAACAAAACAAGCAACAGCAACACTTTAAACAATGCCCTGGACAAGGCCGTGGCCGGCAACACAAAATATGCTGGGCATTCCACGAAACGACGAAGAAAATCAAACAGCCACCGGAACATAGACCACTTGGACATACGAGAAACCCAACTTCATGTCGGAAAAAAATGTTATGGTGTCCAGCTTCGCTGCCGCGGAGCTCTGGCCGTATAGAGCAAAAACAAGGAAACAAAAAAAGGAAGGAAAGCAACCAAATGGCGGGGCGAGGGAAAAGGTAACGAGGAGAACACGGCAGAGGAGGCGAACGGAAGTGAAGATAGTTAGGAAATTTAAATGGCGCAGGCGGAAAGGAAAAGAAGTGAAACCAGTCCAGAACGTTCCCGAAGCAAAGGGTCCAGATTGTACCCACCTGGATTTGCACGAGCGTAAGGGCTTGGAAACACATGGAAATAAAGATGGCGCACCACGAGGAAAGTTTTTCTCGGGACCAGGAGTTTTAAAGAGAACGCGGATCGCATTTTCAAGGAGCTGGCCAAGCTGTTGCTGGCTATGCATCCACCCTCTGGGCTTTCCGTTTCCGGAACACCGACAAGAAATCTCACGGATTGCATGCCCGGGATCGAATAGCGATGTGGTCAGAGCTTGCTTGGGGGGCCAGGAAAGCGTCAAGAGCCCGTTGTTGAACCCATGCCGCTCAAAAAGTGACTGGCTTTCAAAGGCAGTTGTCGCCTTGCTGCAGCACCAGCACTACGGAATCATGCGTCTTCAGAATCCGACTCCATCCTCAGTCAGCTGGAAGTCAGACCCGTGAAACCCCCGCACCTGCAAATAACGTAAGCCTGGGAAAGCGCAATCAAGCAGCGGCTTGTCTTCTGAGGCTCCAAATCTTTTACCTCTGAATCTTCTAACCTTCACCCCCGTGGCCTAAGGTAGATGTACTCATTCATGGGATAATGGTTCGACAAGGGGCGGCGGGCAACTCTCTGACCTCCAGCGCCTCCACAACGAGCCAGCAGTTCCTTGACGCCGAAAAATGGCAGAAACGATTTCGGCATTGGGTCGAAACTACAGGGACGCGTATCAAAAACACACGCGAAGGCACCTTCAAACAAATCATTCCCAAGTGATGGCCTTGCTTGGAATGATTTGAAGCTAGGCGGGCAAATTCCTTGTCGAAGGAAGTTTAGAAGTCAAACTTCCAACAATATGGACAGATGAAAAGCAGAGCAGGGAAGAGGCAGAGAGAAGAGAAAGATTAGAAGAAAGAAGAGTAGAAGAGAAAGAGTAAGAAGAAAGAAGATAGAGATGCGCGAAAAGGTAGGAAAGTCGCGAAACACTATGTTTTTCCAATGATTTGGGGCTCCGGGGGGTCGAAAAGTAGGCTCGCAAAAGCGGCGGGTGCGGAGCCAGCTGGCCAGATGAGAGATGAAAAGTTGCACGCCGTTGTGGCGCGAAGCACATTTCGACGCCAAAATGTACAAAACGCACCATTGTCGGACCACTTTTGGAAGTTGCGATGTCGAAAAAGTGCACGCCGTTGTGGCGCGAAGCACATTTCCGAGTCAAAATGTACAAAACACACCAGGTCCGGACCACTTTTGGAAGTTGCGATGTCGAAAAAGTGCACGCCGTTGTGGCGTGAAGCACATTTCCAAGTCAAAATGTACAAAGCACACCAGGTTCGGACCACTTTTGGCTGTTCACATGTCGAAAAAGTGTACGCCGTTGTGGCGCGAAGCACATTTCCAAGTCAAAATGTACAAAGCACACCAGGTTCGGACCACTTTTGGAAGTTCAGATGTCGAAAAAGTGCACGCCGTTGTGGCGCGAAGCACATTTCCAAGTCAAAATGTACAAATCACCACATGTTCGCGCCACTTTTGGAAGTTCAGATGTCGAAAAAGTGCACGCTGTTGTGGCGCGAAGCACATTTCGAAGTAAAAATGTACAAAGGACTAGGGTTCGGACCACTTTTGGAGGTTCAGATGTCGCTTCGCCGCTTCGCTTCACTACAGTACACTACGTTACATTACACCACACTCCACTTTACTACACTACATTACACTACACTACACTCCACAACACTACAACTACAACTACACAACTAGACTACACTCCACTACATTAAATTTCACTACGCTACATTACACTACACTACGCACCACTACACTACACTACACTACATTAAATTACACTACACTCCACTACACTACACTACACTACGCTCCACAACACAACAACTACAACTACACAACTACACTCCACTACAATCCACTACGCTAAATTACACTACACTACACTACATTGCACTACACTCCACTCCACTACACTACACTACAGTGCACTACACTACATTACACTACACTACCTTCCGCTACACTACACTACATTACACTACACGACACTCCACTACAACTACGACTACACAACTAACACTCCACTACACGAAATTACACTACACTACACTACATTACACTACACTACACTACATTCCACTACACTCCACTACACTACACTACACTACATTACACTACACTACAGTACACTGAATGGCACTGCACCACAGATAGACAGGTAGACAGATAGATAGATAGATAGATAGGTAGACAGGTAGGCAGCTAGACAGATAGACAGATGAAAGAGAGAGAGAGAGATAGATAGATAGATGGATAGATAGATAGATAGTTAGATAGATAGGTAGATAGGTAGATAGGTAGATAGGTAATTAGATGAAAGAGAGAAAGAGAGAGATAGATAGCTAGATAGCTAGATAGATACATAGAAGATAGATAGGTAGATAGTCAGAGAAAGAGAGAGACAGAGAGGAGACCTCAAGCACCTTTCGGTCCATCAGTGGATTCGCTTTGCCATCCCTGATGCACAACAACCAACCTCTCCTATAGGTTTCCTATTTCTGAAACTTCCGCCACCGCCTTGTGCGGTACTACTGGTATCATGAATCTACAGCTGCAAGGCCAAGTCCGCCCTTTGTGTCAGCAAAGCATTAAGTTGCTTCTCTCATCATGGAACATCTGCCGCTGCGGTCTCTAAAATACAGCCCAACACATGGCATGGTAAAGCACTTTCTTTGTGAAATTTCCAAGAGCCCCTGTGATACCGGTTTTTGCAAACCCGTTTGGTGCAACAACCAACAGTGATTGATGCCAGGCGCCGTCGCCCCGCTGCAGCTGTGTTGAAATCTCTTCGCCAGGGCGGACGTCGGGGACAAGGCTAAACAAGGCAGAGATGCCCAACAGAGGCAGCAAGCCTGGGATTCCAGGACCAGCTGACCTTCCCAAACCATCCCATTTGCTTCTTTATTGCCATCCCAAGATCGCCCTATCCCCAAGAGAAAAAACAATAGCATGATCCAAGCCGCTGGAAACACCAGAGGCGATCCAAAGATGTTGAAACTCCGAAGTTTCCATCGCCGCTCCGCGCGGGTTGCAGCTCAAAGATGCCAACAGCCAGGCGCCCAAGGCGCTGCTGATGGCCACCCCCAAGTTATGACAGGACACCACCAAGGCGAACATGCTGGCCTTGCTTAGCCGGCCAGCAGCAAGGTGTGTAATTAGCATGGTACCGCACAAGGCGGCGACGCAAGCTTTAAAGATAGGAAACCTATAGAGGTGGCTGAGGCTCTGAGTCTCTCTCTCTCTCTCTCTCTCTCCCCCTCTATCTATCCATCTATTTAACTATTGTTCTATCTGTCTTTCAAAGTAGCTATCTAGCTATCTACCTATCTATCTCTCCATCTATTGATCTATTGTTTTATTGATCTATCTTTCTGCCTACCTATCTATCTGACCACATGTCTGTCCATCTATGTGTCTGTCTGTCTGGCTGTCTGTCCATCTGTCTCTCTACATCTATGTACTTATCTATCTACCCATTTTTTTTTGGTGTGTGTGTACACCGTTATAACAAACGGCTTTAGTTCTTGTCATCGATCTTGTACTATTCAAAAAAAAAAGCAGGGGCATCATGATATGCAGAGGTACCCATGTCACTTCCTCTGCCAACGAAGCTGGGTGACATGTGGTAAGGATATAGATCAGGGACGCCTGATCTACGTACCTGCTATAGTTTCAACTGTTGACTTTCTGTTCTTGTTTATGAGCTGTGCGTTGTTTCTTCGATCGTGAATCTGTGTCCGCTGAAATTCTACTGCCAGGCAACTCAGGAAATCAGGCGAAGACTATGACATCCTTCACACTTTTTACTGGCCATTACCCCACAGTGTGTCCTGGGTGTTTGACCTAAATTGGTCGCACCGTCGGTTGGTTTCGACCAATCAAAAAGTCATGAGCGGGCATTTTCCCGTATTCCGAGTGGAGTATGAATCTCCGAAGCCGTATGCACTTCGAGTGCATTTCAAGCGTCATATGACGGAGTCAAGATTTTACACTGTAAAATCCAATCGAAGCAGCCATAAGGCGAAGAAGCCATAAGGCAGAAGTTTCGTCCAGTTCGGACAAAGCAGACATAAGTCGAAGTTCCCAGCACCACGGGTGCAATACAAGTGCTTTTTGGTCTGGTCGGAGTCTCAATTGCATTTTCACCTCACTCGTCATCGTCATCAGGTTCTTTTTAGGCCATGTATTCATTCTCTTAGGCAGGCTCCTTAGGTTTGTTTTACCAGGTATAGAACATGTTTCAACGTTTTGTTTCTCACATCACTCGTCATCGTCATCAGGTTCTTTTGAGGCCATGTATTCATTCTCTTAGGCAGGCTCCTTAGGTCCGTTTTACTAGGTATAGAACATGGTTCAACGTTTTATTTCTCACATCACTCATCATCGTCATCAGGTTCTGTTTAGGCTATGTATTCACTCTCTTAGGCAGGCTCCTTAGGTTACTATATAGCAAACAGTTTAGTTTTGATGAATCAATCATGTTTTGATGAAGCAGGGAATTTTGTTATGCAGATTGAGCCGAAACTTGTCGGAACCTTTTCGGTCAAGAGCTCAGCAACAACTCAAGCTCATTCTGCAGTTCTGGACCTCAGAATTTTCACTTGCCAATGTGCCTGTACGATTATTTGTTCTTGATGATGAGATGGAATTACAAATGAGGTCTTGGCTGAAAGGCTTTATCGTACAGTCTTGTGCATCGTTTTCTTTTTGAAACTCAAACGTACAGCTTTTGCATACGCATTTTCTTCAAAGTTAGGATTTACGACTTATCGAACTCGGTTTAACTTTTTGCTTTTCACTTCACTCGTCATCGTCATCAGGTTCTTTTAGGCCAGGTATTCATTCTCTTAGGCAGGCTCTTTAGGTCGGTTTTCTTAGGTAAAAACTAGGCGGTTTGCGGTTTTGCCCCATTTCGGGGCTAATGTGTGTGTGTGTACACCGTTATAACAAACGGCTTTAGTTCTTGTCATCGATCTTGTACTATTCACAAAAAAAGCAGGGGCATCATGATATGCAGAGGTACCCATGTCACTTCCTCTGCCAACGAAGCTGGGTGACATGTGGTAAGGATATAGATTAGGGACGCCTGATCTACGTACCTGCTATAGTTTCAACTGTTGACTTTCTGTTCTTGTTTATGAGCTGTGCGTTGTTTCTTCGATCGTGAATCTGTTCCCGCTGAAATTCTACTGCCAGGCAACTCAGGAAATCAGGCGAAGACTATGACATCATTCGCACTTTTTACTGGCCATTACCCCACAGTGTGTCCTGGGTGTTTGACCTAACTTGGTCGCACCGTCGGTTGGTTTCGACCAATCAAAAAGTCATGAGCGGGCATTTTCCCGTATTCCGAGTGGAGTATGAATCTCCGAAGCCGTATGCACTTCGAGTGCATGTCAAGCGTCATATGACGGAGTCAAGATTTTACACTGAAAAATTCAATCGAAGCAGCCATAAGGCGAAGAAGCGATAAGGCAGAGGTTTCGTCCAGTTCGGACAAAGCAGACATAAGCCGAAGTTCCCAGCACCACGGGTGCAATACAAGTGCTTTTGGTCTGGTCGGAGTCTCAGCAGCATTTTCACCTCACTCGTCATCGTCATCAGGTTCTTTTGAGGCCATGTATTTATTCTCTTAGGCAGGCTCCTTAGGTTTGTTTTACCAGGTATAGAACATGTCTCAACGTTTTGTTTCTCACATCACTCGTCATCGTCATCAGGTTTTTCCCGAGAGCGCCTGCGAAGGGTTCTTCGTAAAAAAGCAGCCGTTATACTACATCTTCACTCCTTCACATCTGCTGATCTAGATCTTCACACCTTCACACCTGCAGATCTAGATCTTCACACCTTCACATCTGCAGATCTAGATCTTCACACCTTCACACCTGCAGATCTAGATCTTCACACCCTCACATCTGGAGATCTAGATCTTCACACCTTCACACCTGCAGATCTAGATCTTCACACCCTCACATCTGCAGATCTAGATCTTCACACCCTCACACCTGCAGATCTAGATCTTCACACCCTCACATCTGCAGATCTACATCTTCACACCCTCACATCTGCCGATCTACATCTTCACACCTTCACATCTGCAGATCTAGATCTTCACACCCTCACATCTGCAGATCTAGATCTTCACACCCTCACATCTGCTGATCTACATCTTCACACCTTCACACCTGCAGATTCTAGATCTTCACACCTTCACACCTGCAGATCTAGATCTTCACACCTTCACACCTGCAGATCTAGATCTTCACACCCTCACATCTGCAGATCTAGATCTTCACACCCTCACATCTGCAGATCTAGATCTTCACACCCTCACATCTGCAGATTTAGATCTTCACACCCTCACACCTGCAGATCTAGATCTTCACACCCTCACACCTGCAGATCTAGATCTTCACATCCGCACACCTGCAGATCTAGATCTTCACACCCTCACATCTGCAGATCTACATCATCACCCTTCCCACCTGCAGATCTAGATCTTCAACACCTTCACATCTGCAGATATAGATCTCACACCTTCACACCTGCAGATCTAGATCTTCAACCCTCACATCTGCAATTTAGATCTTCACACCCTCACACCTGCAGATCTAGATCTTCACACCCTCACACCTTCAGATCTAGATC